CCATGACTACCACTGCTCCACCTTTGTCGGCTTTCGTTATGATTAGATTATTATTACGCAGATATTTAGATTCATCGAAACCCAGTTTTTCTTCGTATCTATAATTTCACATAGCCTTGCCTAATAAAAGGCATTCTCACTAATGTTGGACTGAGTTTTCAACCTCATCTATGTCTCATCACCAACTTTGGCGGCTTCATTTATTTTTCAGGGTGAATTTTGAATAGATTTCTTCTTGAATTGTTTATTAATAAAAAGGGTTTTGACAACTGAAAGTTCCTTAAGCAAAAGATGAAATTTCTGCTAACTGCCAGACTCGTTTTACACGGTATATTTTCATTTTGATATTTTAATTGATAAATTCTATAAATAAATAAATTGTCACATAATGCCATTCATTGAAGAGGGCTTGGTTTCATGAGAAGTTGCGGTAGGCAGTATGAATTCATACGTTCCACACAAAAGTTTTTCACCTCAACCATGAGAGGATCGTAAAGAAACTTGACTAGCTTATCATACATTGAATATATTTCCTTCAAGATTAACTCAATAATTGGCTGCTAAAATGTTGATACTTGAGTAACTTTCACTTCACTCAAAGGCACGAGTGGAAGGGATTTGTAAGTTGACTTCACTGAATGCTGTAGGGGGATTGCCCTGGAGCTGACTGCAGATTTTGTGCGGATGGGTCCTCGGCGCACCGCCCTGCAAACCCAGTGAATCCTAGCTGAGCTATCGTCCGTCTTTTGGTGGACATCATCAGAACTAGCGTCTACATGGTGAAGACCTTGTTTTATCCATACACATTTTCAGGTTCCAAAAGCAACATTATTTTTATGAGTATATTTCATTAGCTGAGATGTAACATATAATCGGAATGTTCTAATTATGGCTGGTGTTTATATCAGTCATACTCCTTTCAGTTTATCCCGAGAAAAATATGGCATTTCGATAAATTTAACTGCAACTTGTGCATCATCCAGATATAGCTGCAGTCCTGATCCCTCACCGCCTATTCTCAGAAAGTTTATTATTTATATTTATATCTTGCTAGGATTGCGGCTAGTGATACCAGTTTATAGAGCAAACCTCCTCAGAAAAGAACTACTCGCGAATTTTTCGTTAATAACTACGGTCTTGGGACTACCAGTAAAATATATATGACATGTATTCACTTTATTTCGTTTAAGGTGATAAAGGACAGATAGCTGAATTTTTCCACAATGATATGAGTAGAGCTCACGTTTCTATTTAATCTCATATAACCTTGCCTTCCAAAAGGGTGTTATCATCCATAGTGGACTGCAGTTTCCACTTCGCCTACGTCTTATCAGCACCTCTAGCGGGAGTCGAACCATGTCAGTGCAATGTGTAATATAAAATCATTAGTCATTGCGCTACATTGCCACGAGTGCCCTTGGATCACAGAGCAGATTTGAATTTCAAGCAAGGTCAAACATTTTCCAATATTACATTCTTTAGAGGAACCTTCGATGAAGCAAAGTTGTATTTGCCATGACAACCGATTACATACATATCGATTACATATCTCTTCACCAAATACTTTCACTCGAAATTGAAGTACGCTCAACAATTATGAACCAAGAGATTCCTCAAAATCCAACTTTTCTTCGTACTTACATATCAATCGTTCATAAGTAGGGTCTTAAGATTGCCAGTAAATCAGTTAAATCATATGTATTCACCCTATTTCGTTTAAGGTGATGAAGGACTGGCACTGTTGATAGCACATATGCGAGATCAAAGCTCCACTCCTTCTTGGATAAGAATAATTTTTCAAAAAGCAAAACAATGTGGAATTCAATGGGAACGTCAGCTCTATTCATATAATTATGGAAAATTTCAACTACCATTTCTTCATCATCTTAGATGAAATATAATGAATGCATCTGATATAACTGATTTACTTGTGAACGAAATATAATTAATTTAGTTGATTGTCATAGCAAATATAACTTTGCTTCATCAACAATCCCACTAAGGAATGTGATATGGGAAAATACCTGACCTTGCCTGAAATTCACATCTTCTCTGTGACCCAAGAGCATTCGTGGCAATGTGGCGCAGTGGCTAATGAGTCGATAGTACACGTTGCGCTGTCATGGCTAGACTCCCGCTGGGGGTGTTGATAAGACGTAGGGGAAGTGAAAACTGCAGTTCATCCTGGATGAGAACACCCTTTGGGAAAGCAAAGCTATGTGAAATTCAATGGGAACATTTGCTTTACCCATATCGTTGTTGGAAAGTTCAACCACCAGTCCTTCATTATCATAAAAGAAATAGAGTAAATGCGTCTCATATTCTTGTGAATTACTGCAGATAAATTGGGTAGTAAAGGCTCATTTTCTCATCCATTCATAAGAGTTATTTTAGCTATCTGAAGTGATATGCCACATTCGGATATATTCCTTAACCTGATATGTTATCTCCTGTATATAGTTTTTAATTATAATTTTATTTATATTGGTGACAAATATGGAAAGTTCCAACCTCAATATTTCAATTGTTGGCAGATTATCTCAGGCCTATAAGATAACTGGTAATCTCTCATATTCTCAGCATAGCTGAACTATTCTCTTCGAATCTAATGTACTCTGGGAATGTAGGTTTAGTTCCAGATGTCTCAGCTCTGGAATTAGTAAATATATCATCAATCCCAGCCTATAAAGAAAACAACATATAACCAAGGAGTCATAATTTATTTTATCGAATCAGACCATGGAGTTCGGAACTGGTGTCACATTTTGTAGACGAAGTCTATTAGCATGTTTAATTTAAAAGAAGAGCAGTTTATAACATACATATGCCGATTTGGCATAATTTTTAATTTTTTGTATATAAGGCTATTATTTTTTGACAAACTGCTTTTTAACAAAATTCAACGCTCATTTTTTTGTCTGAGCAGAAGCCGGTAATTACAAAGTAACTACGCCCCACGCACGCAGTCAAATGCGATGAAGCGATCAGACACTAATAAACAAGGAATTTAAGTAAGCCGCATAACAAGCATTGCATATTTTCGATAGACTGAGATGTGCAGCCTATTAAGACTTATGAAGTCTTGCCTTGAAGACACTTAGAGACAATAGGGATATCGTGTTAAATTTGTTCATTTACCTGGTTTTTGGGGCCGATCTTCTCCTACATAAGTGGTAGGTATATTTTTACTTATTCTTCTTGCTCCGCTTGGAATTCTTCTTCTTCGAAGAGCTCGTTATCCTGGTATTGCTGGTACTCACTCACTAAATCATTCATGTTCGATTCTGCCTCACTAAACTCCATTTCGTCCATGCCTTCACCGGTATACCAATGAATAAATGCTTTCCTTCGAAACATGGCGGAAAATTGTTCAGATACGCGTTTGAATAGCTCTTGAATAGCCGTGTTATTACCAATAAAAGTAGCAGACATTTTCATGCCTCTTGGCGGAATGTCACAGAGTGCCGTCTTCACATTATTTGGTATCCATTCCACAAAGTAGGCAGAGTTTTTGTTCTGAGCAAGAAGCATCTGCTCATCAATTTCCTTCATGGACATTCGACCCCGGAACATGGCTGCCACTGTCATATAGCGTCCATGTCGAGGGTCACAGGCGGCCATCATATTTTTGGAGTCGAACATTTGCTGTGTAAGCTCTGGTACCGAAAGTGCCCGATATGGCTGGCTAGAGCGGCTGGTAAGAGGGGTGATACCAGTGATAAAGAAGTGTAGTCGTGGGAAAGGCACCATATTCACGGCTAATTTTCTCAAATCCGCATTCAACTGTCCGGGAAATCTGAGGCAAGTAGTTACTCCAGACATAGTGGTGCTTATAAGATGGTTTAGGTCTCCGTAAGTTGGCGTACTAAGTTTAAGCGTGCGAGAACAAATATCGTATAGTGCCTCGTTATCTATGCAATATGTTTCATCAGTGTTTTCTACAAGTTGATTAACACTAAGGGTTGTGTTGTAGGGTTCAACGACAGTATCGGATACCTATAAAGTAAAAAGGCTTCGATTAACTTAATCAGGACAACTCTAGTCTAATGCGAGATAAGATCTCAAGATATTAACCAACCAACATGTTCACACCTTGGTCTACAAACAATTGAGTTGAATAAAAAAGAGCTTTAAAATGTATAAGGATACAAATAAAGGATGAGGGTTATTTATTAAGAAATAGGTTTACCCTCAAGTTATCCTCTTAGAAGTGATCATGTAATGAAATCCAATCAAGAATACTAATGAATCTGCTTACAATAATAGGCAAAGTAGTAATGATTCAGTAATTATTTTGAATTTGGTTTGAAAAAGTTGTTTATTTTAGAATTTTTTAAGTCAAATTGTATATATTTAAATAAAGCAACCCTATATATATATATATATATGAGGACTAAGACATTCTTAAACGTAGTCGGCATTATCAGTAAGTGTTATTACCCTCCGCACCAGGCTACGAACTTGTTAAAGAGGCAAGTGAAGTCAATACCTCGACCAATGTTCTGCCGAAAACGGTTGCACTATCACTCCACTTTCTGCCCTGGCCTATCTTTCTACTCTTTGCCCTCTTATCCAACTCCCGCTCTATCACAACTTCCCACTTGTTTACATTCCACTCAAAATGTGTGCCCTTTTATGGCAAATCTAATGTGGCTTCATCACACTTACTATTCACCCCGAGCACCTCTCTTTCGATGGCCTGATCTGACTCGGGCCTCCAATCTGGTTCCCCTTAATTGTCCCATAGATCCGTAACTTCTGTTTCTAGTTGACCGATATCACTCGGTTCCAGTCTCAGTGTGCATTTCACTCCAGGCGCTATTTCTCAAGGGCCTAGAAACACGCACACTGTCTCCGGAAGATTTTCAAAAACTCCAGAGTATGACCGACATGAAATCACGTAGGATTTCTGACTTAATAACAAAAAAGTAAGACGATAAATTGTGTAAGTTTGGCATTTTTAGACAGCCTAAGTTAAGGTCAGTACGCCCAGTTGAAGTGGCTTCCGAGGTGGCAACACTTACTGATCAGCAGGGCGATAGAAGGAAAGTATTAAACTTATCATCAATTACTCTCAATCCCGAAGCAACTGTGTTTCTGGAAAAAGAACTCAATTTTTAAATTCAACATCCTGGTGGGGGTTATTAAAATCGCCAACAAGGTTCCCTGAGGAGGCAAAGCGGGAAATGTGGATGGAGCTAATTCCAAAGATCTTGACACATCAGGAGCCTACACACAGGAACAGATTTGTCGTGATACGCAAAACCCTGGAAACGAATGAACAATTAGTCCTTCAGGCGGATAAAGGAGGAGCTAGAGTGATAATGGACAAAAACAATATACCGAGAAGATGCAAAATATTCTACGAGACAAGACAACATATCATACGCTAAACAAGGACTCAACTATGAAGATCAAGGGAATCTTAAGTACCATACTGAAAGATATGCATATGAATGGGTAAATTGACGCATGGACGAGAAATTCAATCATAAGAAAGGATGCATGACCACCATTAGCATACGGATTACCGAAGATACAAAAGAAGGACGCACCACTAAGGCTAATAGTCAACAACAGGTATGGAGCAACACACAAATTTGCAAAGTTTATATGTTTGGAACTTAAGAAATTAAATGAGAGACTATCAAACACTGTAAAACATTCATACGAATTTTCTCAGAAAATCAAAAACATGCCGCTTGAAGAAATTGACTTATTGGTAAGTTTCGATGTATATAAATATCTCTGGAGAAAATGCACTAACGGCCCTGCTGTAAATCCTGGACTGAGAGGAGGATATCCTGGAATTTCAACGGATCGGTCGGGAGTCCTTAACAAGACTAATCAACTTGACAATAAGGAGAACCTATTTTACATTCAACGGGACCATGTATGAACAAATATTTGAACTTCGCATGGGATCGTCGCTCTCACCTGTTTTGGCCAACACATACATGAACAAAATAGAAGAGACCTTCAAGATAGTACCGCTACAACCGGCAGTGGTCATGCTGTACCCGGATGATTACTTCGCACTTTAGTCATATGGAAGAGAAAAACCAGACGAGTTTCTGAACTTTGTAAGTCAAATTGATGGAAAAAATTCAATTAACGATGGAAGTAGAGGAAGGTGAACGGTTACCGTTCCTGGACGTTGAAATGATTCGCTCTAATGGGCCGCTCAAAAAGAACTTGTTCAGAAAGAAGTCCTATGCTGGGATAATACTCAATTTCCGATCCCATCACAATTACAGGCGAAAGATTGGAATACTGAGGAGCATGATCATTCGAAGCCTACGCCTAACGGATGTAGAATTCTAGGACGAGGAGCTGGACACATTGACGGAGCTATTGCTTGACAATGGCTACCCAATCGAAGTGATACAAAGAAACATACGGGCCGTGTAAAGCCGAAGGCAGAAAGGCGAATATGAAAGAACAGTAAGGACGATGAAGGATTCGTATTAGAGTAGGGTTTCGAGACTACTCTCATTACGATGAAGGATTCACAAAAGTGGATACACCTACCGTCCTGCGAACTAACTCAAAAACTAAGGCCAATATTGATTAAATGGAATATTTAGGTAGTCCTGAAAGAGAAATCAACACTTTTCACAAGTCTACTAACGCAACATTAAAGAGTAGAAAAATTGGATTGTTCAGGAGTTTACTGTAAATCATGTGGCGCATGCGATCAGAAATATATTGGCGAAAGAGGAATAAAAATTAGCACACAAATCAAGAAACATCAGAGGCTATGTAGGTAAATAGATACCAAAAGATCAAAACTAGCGGAATACATCGTTATGGCCAAAATGTACTAGAAATTCACTTGAGATGCCGCATGCGACCAGAGATAGGCGTCCACACTTTACTCAGATAACATGAATTTAATTAAGGTTCCGTGAACGGAAGGCCTGATATCTGCAAGCATGGGAATTAAAGCTTAAGCGATCCGCTCAGTGAAGCGATAATGTACTTGCTTCTAGGCGCTTGAGAAATAGCGCTTGGATTGAAATGCACACAGGGACTGGAACCGAGTGAAATCGGTCAACCAGAAAGAGACGGAACGGATCTACGGGACAATAAAGGGGATCCGGATTAGAGGCCCGAGTCGGATCAGCCGATCGAAAGAGAGGGTGTCGGGGTAGATAGCAGTGTGATGAGGCCACACTACA